CGGGCGGCCCCGGGGGAGGGATCCCCCGCCCCGCGCGTGGCGGCCCGGTGTCACCTGTGGAGGGATCCCCAGACCTGCGGTCCAGTGTGGCAAAGTTTGCCGGGCCTCGGGTTGCACTCCGAAGGCTGCCGGCCGCGCCCGGCCTCCGGATCCCCCGAGGTTACCCCGGGGCCCCCGGGCCCAAGGAGGAGTGCAGACGGGGGGAGGGGGATCCGAGGGAGGCGGGGCTGGCGGCCCCCGACCCGCACCTCGGCCGCCGTGAGGGTACGCGTGGAGGAGGGCGCCCCCACACGCAAGCGCGCGGAGAGGCACCGCGAGGCCCGGGCGGGGGGTGAGGAGGTCAGACCTCGGCGCGGGCCTCCTCGCGGCGCTGGCCTCACCCCCCTCCCGAAAACCCGGCAGCCCGTGTGGGCCGCGGAGGCGCAACCTCGCGGGGGGAAGGGAGGGGTCGTCCAGGCTAGGGGAGACGTTTCCGAGGCGCCCCTCCTCCCCTTCGCGGTCGTGTTTCCGTGGGGGTCGTTTTTCCCTGCGGCTGCGGATCGGAGCTGCACAGCGGGAAGGAGAGGGAGTAGCGGCGCCAGGCAGCCGCCCCGCAGCAAACCCTCCCGCCCCGGCAGCACGTAGGCCCCCGCGCAGCGGCCGCTGCAGCCGCGGAGCGCGCAGATCCGGAGAGGGGGTCGCGAGGGGCGGGGCCGGGACACTGGAGGGCCACCCGGGGCGGGGCTAGAGAGCGCGAGGGCCCGCTGGGGGCGGGGCCTGTGGAAGGCGGGGCCACAACGCCCGGGGTTTGTTGGGCGGAGCCAGAGGCACGCAGCCCAGGAGAGGGGGTCGTAGGGGGCGGGGCCCGAGGGTGGGCCAACCCGCTGTGGGCTGGGCTTATGGAAGGCGGGACCAGAAGGTCTGTAGGGTGGAGCCAGAGGCGCTCAGAGGTCTGCGAGGCAGGGCTATGCGTGTGTGTTTAGGGGGGGGGGGGTGTCTGCCTGTAGAGGGCGGAGTCAAGAGCGTTTGGGGCGTGGCTTCTGGGGGCGTGGCTTAGGACGCTCTTGGAGGAGCCCGGCCAGTCTCCGCCAGAGCGCGAGCGGCCCGCCGGTAACGGTCGCCCGGGCGAGGGGCGGGGGTGAAAGGAGTGGATTTAAGTTCTATCGCTTTGAAAAAACGCAGAGCAAAAGCTAAAGGCCTCGGCGACCCGGCGTGGCCGCTTCCTGCCGCCCAGGGCTCGGCGTCGCAGTCCTTCCCTCCTCAGTCCCCCTCCCCTTCCCCGGCCCTGCCCTCCGGAGCGGGGCTCGGCGGCGGACCCG